GTTTTCGACCGCCTTAACCATGCTAATACAATGCGGGCTCATATAGATCTCGATGGGCCATTTCTGTTTGAGATTAAGAAATTTATCGTTGACGGTATCATCGGGGGTTGCTCGTCAATGTTGACGATATGGAAGAGGAGGAAGTGACAACTACTCTTAGTATTTTCAGAGCAAGTGATAATGAACTCGATTATCACGTGGATATCAAGTCTCCTAAACTGTTCAATCTACTTGTTGGCAATGTCAGTAATGGGGCTTCTTTTAGCGCTGCAGCTGCAAATGTTCGCACAACCCAACAAGTGCTGAAAGTGAGTTACCTGATTGAACCGACAATTTGTGTGCATTGTATACTAGTGGCCAGTTTAGATCATATCCACAGACTTCTCACATCGTGTTGAGCATATTCGCTTGCATATGATGTGGGTAGTGTAAGTCAAAGTCGTACCTCGACATCCGAGTGCGTTTTCACAGTTCTAGCGGAAACATCAAGGATGGAAGCTTGTGAGCGGGCGATTTCAGACGCTGCAGAACTTTTGTGGGGGCCTGGCCATATCCTTCCCCAACACTGCCTCGGGAGATTCTGCTTTTTTTTTCTATCATCGGCTGGGAACGATGAATATCGTCAATCTCTAACCGATTTCTCCCTAGAAGGAATTCTACACGCGGTGCTATTCCGATAAGTGTCGACACTCATTCATTTATACTTTCTTATACTAAAGACAATGATGTCCGTCATTATTCCTCTATTGACTTTGCCTCCTGATCCCTCTAATAAGCTAATAGAGGAAAAAGGACAAAAATCCTCAATTATTAATGAGGCCTGTACATCCTGTACATCTGAAGAATGCAAGGGACTGGCCTGAACAGCGCAGTCTACGGATTGAATGGCTGCGCAATGGTTCATCGGTCAAGAGCAATACTGTGGCGTTACGCTTTTGCTAACTTGGGTGCTGACTTCCAGCTTATCCTTGCGTACGCACGCGCGGTCTCAGTGCGTTTTGCAATGAACTAAAAACAGAAAAACAATATGATTACCAACTACAATGTCTCTTTTGATTTTTGATGAAATATGGCCTTCTACTGGGTTAGATCAACTCTAATGCCCAGGGCTAGGATATAAATATCGCAATTCGATAATATATTTTGTGTTTTGCAATAATTTATTAATTGTTGGTCTGAGCGGAACACAATACAATAAAAATGATCCAATAATTGACAAATACAGTTGAGTTTTACAATGTCCCGACACGTTTATCGTGATTAAGATCTTTTTCAACCGTGGCCGTGTTCAT